TTAATCTACATACACTGTGTAATTACAAGAATTAAATTGCATACTTCCTTGTAAAATGCAACATTTGTTATGAGATATAAACAATGAGTGTCATTTAAGTGAAGAATTTTATCATTTGTGTGAGCCTCATAATGATCAAATTTCATACATGCTGTGATTGGTGAAGTCATAGAAAAAGTTCTTTCTTATCACAAAAATGTATGCAAAGATTTGACATGTAATATATACGTAATTGTTCTGACAGTTAACATATTTATCTTGTGATCAGCCCATTCTTTGTATTATGAAACTTTATAAATATTAATTCCTAGTCCTGTAATGAGCCTACCCTCTATTTTGAGGGGCTGAACATATTACTGGATAAACATGATGTAACAATGGATTTATGTTAGAAGAAATGTATTGTATGTGTATGACTGCCACTTAAGATCCAGAACATAGAATTGCCTGTTTAGCCTTCGTTTGATAATGTCATCATTATCCTGACATTAAATTTTTTTGGTGAAAAAAGTTTGCAGATGATGAATTTGCAATAATATTTTTGCTGCCATTTTCTCTCTGAAAGTAGTTTTTTTGTAATTACTTAATTGTTTCCTTGTAAACAGCATGTTATATCACATACTAGAGAAATTGAGATGCAGGAAATTTTTCATTTTAATATACAGCTGTTTAGTGTGTATTAACAGTTGTACACCGCAAGCTAAAACAACTGATAACAGGCAAGCTGACACACCACTTAAACTAAACTGATAAACACTCCATGGAGTAATGTCATTATTTGTTTATAGATGTTAACATACAGTGTGTTTATATATCAATGGAAACTCTCCAGAGATAAATACCAGTATTGAGATAAAACTTACAGGTATAAATCTCTGAGAATGTGTCCATGTCTCTACTCTAATATTTCTCCACCTGGTATGTAATTTATCCCTCCGTGCCACAGTTTCTGGGAGGAATCAGAAAGGACTTGTGGAGTTTGTATTATCTGTAGTTCAAAGAGGATTTTTTTGTAAGGCAAAGGACTTCATGAGCTATCATTCTGAGGAAGGATAAAGTTGTACTTATTCTTCAAGTGAAGTTGTTTTATTACCCAGAGCAGAAGGACTGTGTTATATTTGACTTATTCTTGTATAAGGTGTGAGGATTTTCTTTTGACATCTAAGGAGGGAATTTCATGCTGATTTTAAAGTGCATTCTGAATTTGTTCGGATAATGCAAATGTAAACTGAAAAATATGATATGTGCTTTTGACACTTTTGCCAGATGCAATTACGTGTGCTAGATTGAGTAGTTTTTAAATTTTGTCAGAAGTTGGTATCTTAAATCTGGATGCATACAGAATAATCGACTGTGTTAGAGTAATAGACCATACACAAATGACTGGTGTGCAGCTTGATTACAGGTAAAATATCTCACACACAGTCTACTGTCAGTTTACCTTTTAAGTTTCGAAAGCTTACTCTCTGGGTGGCTTTAGTTTGTAGTTGAACTCATTCAGGTGGCAACTAGTCTAGCAGAAAGAAACGGTTCAGTGTTTTGTCATTTGAATCAGTGTGCCGAGTAGTAAATTCAATACGGTCCAACCATTCATCTAGATATGGGGTCAGGACAATAAAAAAACCAGGTAAATTGGAGTTCTAATCCCATCGTCTGGTCTGACCAGTGTCACACAAGTGGTTAGCTTGTACATGCACACTTTAAGTGTATTGGAAAATTCATAATTCTTAATTAGAGGACTAATTTGATGACTTACTCAGGTCCAAGATATTTATCTAGATTTACAGAGCATCTATGGATATTCGACGTGAGTGTACTTGTGTGAATGGCTTTTTGGAAGGTACTAGTGTTATGGAATAAGTATGACTGGAGCACTCGGACACTTCTATTCAGAACTTTGTAAAATGTCAAAATAAAAGTTGTGATCTAGTTGTTGGCTGATAATGGCTTTAGCACAAGACCTTCACCTGACCAGCGGTGGTAAGGCCCGAGTCAATGAAGCCTTTGAGTTTGGTGACTCGGAACACAGTGAGTTCTCCTCAGGTGATCAATTGGACCACCCATGTAAGTGTAAATTTCAAAATATGACTTATTTTCGTTTAAATTATCAGATTAATAGTTAGATGTTTCTATTTCAGTTAAATTCTTATACTTATGTTGTATTGTAGAGTACAACAGATGACAGTTTTCACACAGTTTGTCATAGATCAATGTTCATTCAAAGTTTAAGCCTCACAAGATGCTGCAGACCTTATGTCTAACATACTGTAAAATTATAAGCCTTTAACCTCAATTTACAAGTCTGACTTGCTCTAAATTGCCTTTGAATTGGCAAGTTATTAGCACTTTATTCCTACAGTGCCATAATTGTTACAGACGGATTTAAGTTATTAGCTTTTCTACAGGTAGATGTCTTCACAGGTAACATTTTTACATTTGTAAGGTTAAAAAGTATATCACCAGGGTAATCAAATTCACCTTTGAATTATGACTACTAGGCTATACTCCATGTACTGTGTATATACAGATATATAGGGACTCTGGTGACCAACATACCGTAGTCATATTATCTAAAGAACATGCATATGTTAAACGTCTGTTTACAATATCACAGGTCAGTCTGCAGGCCTCACACGTTGATAAAGACCTTTAGTCCGTCCTCAACCTTGTTTTGGTAGACACGTCAATACTACTACACATTTATGACAATTAGAAGTTGGTCGAGGACACTTAGCAAGAATGTGTGGGATATTGTCTCCTCAGCCCGATTAACAATCCCATGTATGCATGTTATCTAGACATAGGCACATCTGATCAAAGCCTATCATTAACATCAAATATTGAAATAGATAATTCTAAATTACTGAGATAAATATTCACCTGGTTTAATTTCTGGAGGGGACATTGGATTGTAGTCTGAATGAAACTTTTACAATACATGTGTATGTGTTAGATGTTGATTATAAATTGTGGCAAAACAATCATCAAAAATAACCAGTCTAATTATATAATTTCTATATAATACTAATGAGTTAAGGAAGAATGACCATATTTGGTTAGGCGAGAGTTTTAAAGCTACACTACATGAATGTTACATTTATGACCACAATATGTCGCATTTTAGAGTGATCAACATAATATGTAAAACAACGCTTTGTTCATCAGTAACCTTTAAGTTCAATTCTTAGAGATATGAATATACATAAAAAGATATCTTTGTTAATTTGAAAAAATGAAATTAAAGGGGAAAAAAAGTCTTTTGATTTTATTTATACCGGTATTTGATTTTCTGGGAGACAGTTATATATATATACCTTGTGCAGCTCAAAAAAGGGGAAAAAAATAACAGTGAGATAGCATGACAACACTGTCATTTATGAGCACCATCCCATATGATGTTAGATGTTGTGAGGATGCAAAACCCTTGACAAACATGCAAACAAGATACCGACACTTCTTTGAACATGTGATGAAGATTTACTGATAAATTTAAAGCAAGTAAAAGAGGTCAACACTAGTAACAAATATTAACCTTCGGTTCTAAATTATTACTTTATCAATTTTTACAATGTCACGCTGATAGTTACAGTCAGTATGTTAAAGACTTATGGTATTGAAAATCTGTAAGTTGGAAAATTAATCATTTTCATCATCAATAAGTTAGAAGACATATAAAAGAAATTGCTTCTGGCACTTTTTTAAGAAAGAAACCTAACTATTTAAAGGGCTACTCTTGTGACACTTCCATTTATCATCATGCCTTAAAGGTGTATTTGATATAGAAATTACAAGCTGGTATCATACCAGGTATGTTTGTAATATGTTTACAATAAACGAAAATGCTTGGGGTGTTTTGTTGTTATCGATAAATATGACAACTTTATTTGCTTTTAATCAGTTTTACAGTGCTGTGAGCTTAAGCCAACATATTGCTTTCAGACTTGATTTGACATTTTATATAAGACTTACATTTGTTTTTCATTTTAAGCTAAAGGTGGATAATTTTATAATTCTACAACTTGTTAATATAGTTTAACAAGACATAGACATGTAGCTTATTTTCTAACAGGTTCAATATTACTGAAAAGTATCATCTGTGCTATTGGTTTCATATTGCTTATAACCAGGTGTACATTTCTAGTGTAGAGACAGTGAAGTTAGATAGATGGTAACACTTATAGTTATAGCTAGAATATTAGAAATAACTTATATAATATGTAAATCTAGTTGTTTGAATGAAGCTATAGTTAACAATGTACATGTAGAATACTGGTATCATGATAAATATATTTCATTTTTTTAATTACCTGTTTGTGTTGTTAAATTCTGTGTAAAGACATATTTAAAGTGTTTAATTAACAATATTTATTGATTTTTTAACATCCTTTCTATGATTTAAATTTATCATATATTCATTAAAATTCACTGACTGTTATAAATATCTTATCCTGTTTTTATCTATGTTTCATATTTTCATTATTTTGGTATATTTTTGTTTTAATTTTCATCATTAAAATAATCTGTTGAACTTCCAATCAAATTTCAATAGTCCTCTATACATATTGTTTAAACGGTGTTTCCAATCTCTAAAATATCATTACTTTGAATTATAATGTTCTGTAGTGCAATTCAGCTTTTACATATTTTGATAGTTTTAAGTTAGGTTAAATTAATTGAATTTAATCTTTTTGATATTTTGTTTGGTTCCTCTTGAAAATAGCAATGTTTTGATATGAATTTTCTTTGAAATTTTCTGTATGGCTCTTGATTGAAATATAATTGATAAAGGAAGTGAAAAGCAATCTCAGAACTTGGTACTGAAACAGAATTATTCAAATGTAAGTGTTTCTTTGTTGTGTTTCTGTTTTTGTCATATCAGGTACCAAGTGGTTATTTAATACAGCAAATGTTTCTAACTTATGCATGATATTACATAATATATCTATTAGAACAAGTTATTGAGGTAAATGTTAATATTGAATACATATTATATATTTCAGATAATGTAACTCCAAAGAAATCAAAGAACAAGAAAGATAAAAAACAAAAGAATGCCCATCAAGCAGCATTAGCCGCAGAACGAAGTACTGGGGACAGAGCTGACCGAGGAGATCGAGGCGGAAATGTCATGTCCATGAGTCCAAACATGGGGGACGACGATGTAGAGGATGTGGATGATAGCAGTGCCCCCATAGTACCCCAGCAAGTTGCACAAGGCAAATCACCTGCTGGGAGGAATGGCAAAGAGGATTATAATTCTGGAGGGGTGAGGAATACAAACCACTTAAAAATTGACAATACCATTCATCAGATAAGAAATCTACAGTCTTTTATAATATTAAAAGTCTGTAGCTTCTCCTGGAATTGCAGTTTTCGTTCTCTTAATCTGGACAGGTGGAGCTTTCCGTTGATGTGTGAACCTAATTATTGAAATCTGGAGAGGTGTTACTTTTCTTGGAATTGTAAACCTAATTATCTTAAATTTGGACAGGTGTAACTTTCTCTAGGAATTGTAAACCTAATTATCTTAATTTGGACAGGTGTAACTTTCCCTAGGAATTGTAAACCTATTTGTCTTAATCTGGACAGGTGTATCTGTGTTATCAGTGTATGACGTCCTTGTCTTACCCAAGGGATGAGACAGCGACTTGATGCAATATGAATGTCAAGCATTGAGACAAAAAATATTTAGAAGGGAGTCAGAAGAGTAAGAGAAAAATCAATGTATTCATTTGATAATGAGATAGAGAGAACTCAACCATTTGGGATGCATGTTTGCCAACTTAATAATCTTTTCTCTCGGGTGGAGATCTACCATCTCACTTCCAAGAGAGTGAAAGATTCTATTCCTCGTGTACATGCCTGCAATACATTATTCATGGTTAGAATTCAGGTACATTATCAAATGAAACAACTTTATTGGGTACAGTATTTTGATGTCACACAAGTAAAGATTTAAAATTCAAAGAACACATGTATTAGAAGGAAAATGAAAATAATGGCTAAAGTTGATCAGCTGGTGATGGAGTTTATTTTTCAAACTTTATTAGAAGATATCTTAACACATCAGAAATTTAGATATAATCCATATCATTTATATTGGCCTAAACTTACTTTTTCAGAATGATTTGGATGACGATGGGGATGAGGTTCAAGGGGCGATGGGCCGAACTCTCACTCCAGACATCACAGAGAACCTCGACTCATTTGTGTTCAAACCAGCCCCACAGGGCCAGACGGTAAAATGTCGCATCACCAGGGACAAGAAGGGTGTGGACCGTGGGATCTATCCCACCTACTATCTACATGTAGAGAGGGAGGATGGAAAAAAGGTGAGAGAGGCTGACTGTCTCTTTAAGGCTCTAATGTTATATAATAATGATGAAAGTACCTTCAGGTCATAATTTATTATCTTATCTTTGTATTTTACGTTTTACCTTTGATGTAGAATTTTGTCTTTGAGGAGTTTCATTACTGGTACATAGTATCTTACATTGATTATTCGACCACTAGGTTAAGTATAAAAATTTCCCCCATAAATGTTTTGATATTTTTTTTTTCTCTCTCTATAGAACACAATTAGTCTCTATTTCTAAATAAAGAGTCTGGCTGCTATGCAAGACAGTAAACTTTTGAATAATAGTCAGAATAAGGATGACAGCAGTATTACCAACTCTGATATGTTTTACCAAGAACTGAGTTGTTATGTTTGGAAGTATTTCACAATTTTCCTCTAAGTGGTACTTTCGAAAATGAGCAATGATCTTTATGGTACAAAACTATTTTAGTAAAATCAGTTTGAACCAAAGTTCTGTTTGCTTGATTTCAGATATTTTTATTAGCGGGAAGAAAAAGGAAGAAGAGTAAGACGTCTAACTACCTGATATCTACCGATCCAACAGATCTGTCACGAGGCGGGGAGGCCTATGTTGGAAAGCTGAGGTCCAATCTCTTGGGAACTCATTTTACCCTTTTTGACAATGGAGACAACCCAAAACAGAACTATGAGAATGCAAGGAAGGAACTGATTGGAGTTGTCTATGTAAGTAAACGGGTGATCTGGATGGACTTATTCTGTCCTAAAATCATAAGTATGAATGTTTAGTTATGATAATCAACTAGTCTATTACACTTGAAAGGATGAATTTTTTTAAGTTTTTATCTGTCTAGTAAGTAGAGGTCTGTATTCATTTCATATTATTGTTTCCTGATTGGTTGCGGACTACCTCTGTCTGAGTTATGGAAATCATTTGAATATGTCATACACAATCTCAATAAGAGTTAAACTGTAGCTACTTATTTTATAATCTCATACAATAAATTTGTCGTATGGGAATGAGACACTTTTTAAAGATATTCTGAGATATATGTTAGATTATTTTTTGACTGCATTATAACTTGTGGTTTAACTTTGTTGTTTTATCTGTTTCTATGACAGTAGTTTCAATACACACTTTTCACAATAATGTCAGTTTGGTAAATAATCTATTTCACTGATTTGTCAATAAACTTTGTAAATCTTTTCCAGGAAACCAATGTGCTGGGATTTAAAGGACCGAGAAAGATGACCATTATCATCCCTGGTATGAATCTTGACCATGAGCGTGTAGACATCAAACCACGATCAGTAAGTCAACATTGCCTTGTCAGTTAGTGTCATTATCTCTCATCTTAACTGTTTGTAAGAGACAATTATTTAATTGAAATCACATTTTTTCATTCATGTTTGAAAGTTAGTGTGAGGTATTGCTATCATCTTCCAAAATAGCTTATCAAGTTGTTCGATTTGTTTGTAAATATATACTCCATTACTCTAAATTCATTTTGATGAAATGCTTCTTCTTCTTCTTCTCTAATTTTCTGTGTTTTAGGGTAATTAGGAACTATATGTACATGTATTTACAAGTCATGAAGATTAAACATATTTAGATATAATGATACATGTACATAGATATCCCTTTCCAATTTGAAAATTGCTGTTTTGTCGGTGCTGTTTTGTCTTTGTTTTGTCAGTGTTGTTTTGTCTTTGTTTTGTCTTTGTTTTGTCAGTGTTGTTTTGTCTTTGTTTTGTCTTTGTTTTGTCAGTGTTGTTTTGTCTTTGTTTTGTCTTTGTTTTGTCTTTGTTTTGTCAATGCTGTTTTGTCTTTGTTTTGTCTTTGTTTTGTCTTTGTTTTGTCTTTGTTTTGTCTTTGTTTTGTCTTTGCTGTTTTGTCTTTGTTTTGTCAGTGTTGTTTTGTCTTTGTTTTGTCTTTGTTATGTCAATGCTGTTTTGTCTTTGTTTTGTCAATGGTGTTTTGTCTTTGTTTTGTCAGTGTTGTTTTTCTTTGGCCTCGGTATCAGCTTAACTTCTCAGTATTATGGTGACCATAATACAACGAAAGAGAAACTAAAAAAAAACACTAGTCCCATATATTGTACAGTGCTAAGCTTCACGTTGTTAATAAATCAGTGTGTTTTGTGTGTATTTTAGGATAATGATGGCCTTATAGACCGATGGAAGAGGAAGAACATGGAGAACATTCTGGAGTTACATAACAAAACTCCAGTGTGGAATGACGGTAAATTCTTTCATTAGCAAATGTTTAAAATCTTGTATGATTTGCTTCCCTTTGATCAAATTCAACAAGCACTTCAACAAAACTTGTCAGCTAGCTCAATATTTAAGTCATGTGACCTAGTGATTGGTGCTATATATTGGGTGATTAGTAATTCTAAGATAAGAAAGTGGCAGAATTTATAATGTTTATTCAATACATGTAAATCATAAGAAGATAAGTCTTAGTCTGAATATCATTATCATGTTAAGTATGTTTATATTGTTGGTGTATATCACTCCATGGCAATACAAGAGGGAATACTACTACAGGTACTTTGAAGCATTTTATACAGCATTACCATTAGTTTACCAGCTATACATGTACCTGTAATCAAAGTGACTACTATCTGGCCCATTCTACCTGTTTTAAAAAATGAAACTTTGATGCACGACTGTTAGAGTAGATCTACTGGCACCATCGAGCTGTGAGAGGAATAAATAGATAAACAATCATGTTCCAAATTCTATATTTCAGAAACACAATCCTATGTGTTGAACTTTCATGGGCGAGTAACACAAGCATCGGTGAAAAATTTCCAGATTGTCCATGATAACGATGGTAAGTTCATTTCTCATTTCATCATGTAAGAAACAACACAAACTTAAATAAACTTTAAAGAAAAAAAGAAAAAAAATATCTTTGGAAAAACCAGTCATTTAGAATTCATTTAAATTTGAAATTAATATATTTTTTTTCCTTTCTAGTGGATTACATTGTGATGCAATTTGGTCGTGTGGCAGAGGATGTGTTTACTTTGGATTTTAATTACCCCTTGTGCGCAGTACAGGCCTTTGGCATCGCCCTTTCTAGTTTTGACAGTAAATTAGCGTGTGAGTGACAGCAACCATGTAAATACCACATGTTGTTCAGTTTCAAATATGTGATATTTAACTGAATTCATTACACTCCGTCATAGCTCATAAGAGACAAGGGAGATAATTGGCAACCTTTTGATTAGAGGACAAGTAGTGTAGTGTAAGGGAGATAATTAAAAGGAAACCTCTTTTCAGTTACATTTGTGATGCTGTTGAGATTGTACTGCCTATAGTTAGGACATGATTTGTTGTGAACACAAACCTGAAGGTGTCCACATTTACACAGTATCAGGATTCATATGATTCATTGGACATAATTTCAGCAATGGAAATCAAGTAATTGGTTTGTAGGTTGATTTAATGTATTACAAATAAACTTAACTCGTCATGTTTGGTGGTTCATTTGGCTACGTAGCACAAGTAGATGATCAACAGATTTTGTGGATGATAGTGTTTAATATTAAATCAGGTAGCACACACAAAAATTCAAACACTGATTCAGCTTAATCAAATATTAGGATAGTGACCTATCACACGACTAGATACAAGAATTGGCTTAGTATCAAATTAGAACTAACCTGGTAGATGGTTTTCCAACGTGGTGTTTATAAACATGCTACTGTCCAGGTGTGTGTGTCATTTTAGAAAGTTCATCACTGTGATTGTAAATATTTATTTTGATACGAATGCCAAAGATTGTCCACAAGAGAATACATGTCAAGAGTAAAAGAATTTTTTTTTCATTTTGTGCAAGCAAAAAGATTGGAAAAGTTTTGGAGAGTCAAAGGTTGATGCATGTTCTGTATGGATGTTTCTGTAGGCACACCATATTGTTGTTAGATAGAGAGGCAGGTTACTGATTGTCATCGTGAAAATTCTTTCAATTTCAGTGTGACAGGACTCACTTGAATCTTTGTAACCTCAGATATATTTTTAACTGGCCTATGTAGCCCTTTTAGTATCCTCATCTTTGTTGTTTAAAGTCGTTTTAATTCATTTGATGAATTGTAAACGGTTTTTACACAATATCAGTTGTGTAAACAATATATGTATATTACTGTTTATTCATAATATGAAACATATCATATTGTATTTGTGGTTTTTTTTTTAAAAAGTTATCTGGAACTCCTGATGACAGATGTTAAAAGACAGAAAATGTCATTAAACATGAATGTGAAAATCTATACATATATCACTCACCTCCCATTGGAGTATGCAAAATAGCAAGTCTGATATACGTAAAATTGTCAGTGTTATTCCATGTTTGAGAATCTAGAAAACTGTCCAGATAGTGGCCCTGGTGTAGCTGACATTGTCAGAACCATGTATGTAAATAAAGATCTTGAACATGGTCAACGTCACACACGTAAAGTTTGTCATGGAATTTTTCATGTATCATCTTATTTTAGTAAGGTGTTATGTTATCCAATATGTGTGGAAAATCAAACCCTTAAGTTCAATGAATTATATGACATGAACCCTGCAAAGTCCTGCCAACAGGTTTTGAATTAAATCCTAATTTTATGACTATGTTCTGGATATCTACATTTCCGGCAAGAACTCTTGTCCCAATTCTGTCTGTGCTTGTGTGTCTTGATTTAAATGATTTTATTTGATTTTTATGATGATGATGATGATGATGATGATGATGATGATGACCAAATTTAGTTTTTTAAGAGAGAGAGAGAGAGACTGATAGCAGTGAAAACGTTACATGTGTATTACTTGTAAACTGTGAATTAGAGTGGCTTTGGATAATTTTGAATGAAAAATGAAAATTCAAGGCATTGACCAGTTGTATATAATGATGTGTACTTGACATATCTAGCAAGGTCATCCATCTTGAAGTGGTATTGTTTGATAGGACCGATAGTCATATTGTCTGTGATTTCCACAAGGAGACTAGTGTTAATTTATACTAATGGATAATCTTTAATAGCTTGTTGACTTTGGCTACAATGTATGACCAGGTGCAGTATGTGTTTTCATATGAAACAGTTCTATTCAAAATGATGCATAATTAAATTGAGACAGGAAATATTCGACTTCAGGAACACATTGAACACAAAATCTAAGGTATAAATTCCTTACATCTTTCCAAATTAAATATTATATAGGTATGTGTAATTGTTTTGTGTCAGTATTACTTGAATTTTTTGCTTGGTTTCTTAGCCAGGAGGTTTTATTCATCTCCCACATTCAGTTTACACTGTTAAGAAATTTATGTTGGCCTTTGAGACAAGGATTTCATCAGTATTTCAAGATACAATTTTTTTTCCTAAAAAGGAGTACTTGGTAATGGAATTCTTCCAAGGATTACTCACTAGTCGTTTTTGTATCTTTCGGAACCTTCCTGTAGTGCTATTGAAAAAATCTGTCTCCTATTAAAACACAACTGTGAGAATGGATTGTGGTTTCAAATCTATTTATAACAGAAGGGCAAGAGTGCATTTTGTTGAATACTTGGTCACTGCTTGGTTGTTAGTTAGGCTACTGGAATTGGTTGTTTTGAATAATTATTTATTGAGTGTCATTTGATTGGTTGTCCATGTCACATGATTTCAATTACTTCTTTTTATTGGTTGTAAATATCACATGTGGATGTATGGGCCTTGTCCTGTTATTGTATTTTGACCTGGTAGCTGATAAATGCAAGCGTAAGATGTAGTTATGCATTGAAGATGAACCACCTCCTGCTTTTTTGTTTTAAAATCAAGAGAAAGGAAAAGGATATCATCTTCGATGTGAAAAGTTGAAGTTTTACTTCAAGGGAGGATATGACTTTGCAAAGCTGATATGATTTTTAAGTGTATTTTTTTCTGAAATGCAATATTGTAAAATGTGATAATTGTGTCCAATGTTTTGTGCCTACCACTGTGAACGTTCCAATGTAAATAGTTTGTGAACAGGATTGATAGGAACTTCAGATCTGTCAAGACTGAAGTCATTTTGTATCGTATAATTTTTCGCAAATTCATATTCAGCTTTTGATATATAATTTTATTAGGAAATTAAGTGCTAATAATTATTTCATTTTATACATTATTCAATGAGCATTTCATTAGCATTATGAAAAACTCGACATCCTCCAAAATGTTTTGATTCGGTATATATCCTGTGAATGAAATATTAGAGATCAAGATGAAGAGGATGACGTACTTGTTTTGGTAAAGAAAGTTCAATTCTAAGATGTATGTACAGAAAATGAAAACTCCTGACAATGTCACATCTTTTTTGTCCCAAATGTTGTATGTTTTACTGCTAAACATGAGGAATTCCATCGCTGACCAAAGATTTGAAACAAATTTTCTGTGATTTGTCTGCAAAGGTATTATTGATTAAACTGCAATGTTAAGAACATACATGTAGATAATTGTTACAAATGAAGATCGAAGTAATTGTGTAGTAATCAAACACTTCATTATTATGTCAGCATAGTTCATCTTGACCAATATGTTTTTTTCGTATTTTTGTTATATGTCTTAGTCATTATGCCTATACAACATAAAGCATTGCTACTATGCTATTAGCATACACATACACTTCTCATATACAATTTTATCGTATACAAACAATTTATCAAATACATCATGTGTGTAGCATCATGTACCTTGTATTATAACTGGTTAGTATACATATGAAATTTTTAACAACACAAATTGAAATTTCTTATGCATCTTTTTATGACAAATTTAAAAAGTATTTTATTGAAATTATTGCATTAATAGGCAATTGGATTTTAGTTTTGACCGCTGAAAAAAAATATGGAAAACAAGAAATCTAAATGCCCGAAATCTGATTTGTTGATCGAGGATAACTGATTAAGCAGAATTTGAATGTTTTTGATCTGACTTGAAAATTGCACGCTAATTGACTGCTGATAACATCCTGCTTTTGGGGCAAAACATCATAAAATGACTGTAACACAATTTCTATAAATAAAGGGGTCCATCAGTGTAATATTAATTGTATACAGGTGATTGTTTTATCCAACAAGTAGTCCTATAGCTGTTTGGCTTATGCTTTCATATTTAATGCTTTATTTTGAATTACCTCGATCATGACATTTTGTTTATTTTATTTACACTTTTATGAAAAGAAGTGCGTTCAGCTGATACTCATAGGGTCAAGTTCATAGGCATTATCTTGAAATATGATAGATATTGTTAAGTTCTGGAGAAAATTTCATTTTGTCTTTGTAATATTAAGTACAGTTGAGATATTTTGGTCACAATGATAATTTTACCACCAGTTGTAACATTATTTTGTAGAATTTATTGTCATACACAAATTTTTAGTGCACAATACCACAATATTTTTGTACTATCATTCCCGGTTGTGAATTGTGAGAAACACATGTAAAATTTCCTAGATAACAAATGCACACATATATATATATTTTCATCCCACCAAACCATTACTTTATAATTTTCTTTTGATTTTAAATTTAACTGACATTAGCGTGACGAACAATTTTCAATAACTTTCTTAGTGGATAAGGGATTCTTGAATAGATGTCTTTGTTTACAGTTCATTTGGTAGATTTTCTACTAAATACATAAACATTTCAAAACAAAACAAAATCACATGTGTTCTTTGTCTTATAAAATTAGCTGTCAATTTAGAAATTGATTTTTTGGATGATGCAGTTTTGATGTAGAAGTGATTAAGACACAAATAGTATAGTTATTGATTGATATTTAGATTAGAAGAAGAAAAATTTGTAAAAGGGAAAAAAATAAAACGAAGATTATTTACTATTGAAATGCGAGGATGAATTACTATTGTAATATTGAGGTATTTTATAAGGGAAAATAAGGGAGAAAAATTCCATTAGTCTAAAATTAATTAAATCTAGATTAGAACTGAAGCTGTTACCATTAAAAAAAAAAAAAACAATGAATTCTATGGGAATGTGAGGAATGCATGACATTAGTCATCAACATCTCTCTCTGTTTCCTTTATGCTACATTCCAGATTGTCTCTCCTGCAGTATCAGCTGAACAAGGTATGCCGTCCAAAT